ATGAGCTTCAACCTCATTCTCCATAGTGGCTTTTTCTTCTAATCTTATAAGTGGGTCTTTTCTGCTAAAGGCAAACAAACAAAAAGTCAAACCAAATCAAATGAAATCAACCAGCTAACCAAATGTTGAGAGTGGGAGTAAGAGTAACAATAAATGAATACCCCACTGAGACTCAGACTTTTGCTGAGATTCTAGAAAAGCTTTAGGATCATAGATGTGCAGCTATTTATGCCATGCTAGTTTGATCATTATTAACCTAGTGATACAATTCAGCTGTGTAAAGATTCTAGAGTAAATGCAACGTAGAAGACCAGCGTCCTTAGAGTGGGAAAATTAGTGAAATTGCTGGTTCATTTGAGGGGGAAAATTATTTGATAGAGTCAAGTAAATGCATTGAAATTCTTTATTTTGAGAAATGGTATCTGGCGAGTGAAAGGATTGATGTAGAATATTTAGATAATAGCAGATTAAAGTTTTTATAATAAGTTCATAGGAATGTATAGGAATGGATGTATCATTAGGCTTGGTTAGGCTTGGTTGCCCACATGGAACAAAATAACAAATTATGAAATTTAGAATTAAGACCATGACCTTTCAAAGAGTCTCAAACTTTGTCTAGGAAACCATTCATGTTCACAGTTGGGAAAATAGGGAATTTTGTTTAAATCTTTCCATATGGTTTTGGTATTTATGATTCCTCATAGGTAATTGGTGCTTGGCATCGTCTTGATGTGATAAGAAATGAGCAAAGGAATTGGCAAAGCAGAGCGAAGAAACTGCTCTTAAGCTCTAGAATTTCCTTTATGCTCTGATGTAAAAATGTGGCCTGTCTTTTGAAAAGTATAAATTAACTAGGAAATAACTTTGTCTTAAATCTCCATTAATTTCATCTCAAGACATTTTCTTGTTGTTACCAATGAGTGCAGATGAATAGAAATTTATTCAGAATAGTTTTATATTTATTCAGAATAATTTCAGTCATTAAATCCTTTTGATTTCTCATTCAAAAAGGCTTTTAAAATGTGCTAATTTATATTCTAGTTTACAGAATTGAATCAGTAAAATGATAGCACTCAACACTCTCAAGAGTTTGGTTTTGTTTTGTTTTTTCCCTCAGTTTGAAAATCTGCACCATGTGAGAGGTTTGGCTGATTTTCTAAGTATTGCACACCATTTATGTTCCCTCCATTTCCATGCAGTTTATGACTTTGGATACATAAGAGTTAGACTTGCTCTGTCAAGTGGGCCTTCTCTCTTCCTCCCACTGTCTCACTCAGATCCCTAGTCTACTCTCAAATCTTACAAACTTGCTCTCTAGTGAACATTTTCTGCAACTCTGGAGGCTGTGATTTATTCTCCTTTTCTACTCTTTGGTCCCAATTAATTTCTTCACTCATCTCTTTCTCTTTTTTCTCTGCTTTTAGCTAATAGGGGGGAAACTATTGTTATTAATGAATTTGTTGTTTAATTATTTACTGCTTTGTCTATTTGGAGGGTAGAGCCTGTCCCTTTCTCATTTACATCTAACATCATTCCTGACATAAAATAGGTGCTCAATAAATTTTGTTGACTATTGATTGTATATATACCATTACTAAATATGGAAAGGGTGGGGAATATGTGATTCCCCTTATGTGATTCCCCTTATGAAGATATCTCTTCATTTGGAACACTATCTAAAAGAAAAATGTCTCCCTAACTCCTCAACATATGCTATTTTCCATTTAAGGGACTAAAAGTATATAAAAGAAAATTTGTAAATAAGTTATTCCAAAATTAGGACTGCAAATGACCAATAAGAAGATAATTCTTTTTCACTCATGGTTAGAGATGTGCACATTAAATGTTTCTGGTCAATTAAACTTGCAGAAATTAAGATTACTATACAGACTAGTGGTGAAAGTTTGCCCATTTGTTGTGACTCAAAATCATAATGACTTATCACTAAAAAATTTTTTTTAAAAAACCCATCTGGTTCAGTCACACTATTGGGAATTTAACCTGTAGAAATAAAAGTACCATTATGGGAAGATATTTGAATAAGAATGATTGCTGCATCATTGTTAGTAATAACTAAAGCAAAAGGAGAGAAACAGCCTAAATGTTAATTTATAGAGGGGAGTCTGAAGAACTATGACACATCCAAATTAAGCAACTTAGAAAAAATTAATGATGTAGATTATTGTTCTTAACATAAGTAAAAAATCAAGATATGAAATGCTGTTGTTTAATCACTAAGTTGTCTGACTCTTTGCAGCCCCATGGACTGTAGCCCATCAGGCTTCTGTCCATGGGATTTCCCAGGAATGAATACTGGAGTGAATTGACATGTGCTTCTCCAGGGGATCTTCCCAACCCAGGGATTGAACCTGTGTCTCCTGCATTGGCAGGCAGATTCTTTACCACTGAGCCACCAGGAAAGCCTTGTATAAAACATACTTTTATAACTGGAAATAAAATATTTTTAAACTAATAAGAACAAAACAGATTTTTAAACTAAACAAACCAGCTAAAACCAGGAGAAAAAATATTGTAGCAGCATCAGAGTTGGGTTTCTCACGCATGGGAGGGAGTGACCCTCTGAACTGTAGGATTGTTCATGAGACGGCTGTGCAGAGAGCTCAGGCTTCAGCCCAGAGGTTTCTGTGTGCTTCCTCCAGTCTGGCGACAGCGTAAGAGCAAAGAGGGTGAAGTCAGATCCTTGGCAACAGTGTCAATGTTCTCTCCTTTTCCTGCTTCTGATTCTCAGTTTAATAGCAAACCGTTTCTTATGAACTCAAGATGCATTCTGACCTTGTATCAGAAGTTGAAGCTTCCATTGAAGTTTATGCTCAGATATTTTTCTGCCATAGCAATTCAAATATCAGCCATAATTAACTCCAAAAGGAGACAAACAAACCCCAGACAGACAAGATTTATCAGGACCTGAAACGTTTTTGTTAGCACTGTTCTGTCTCTGGAGATAAATTAGATGCATATACTATATCTGTATATGCTAACTGAGATGGACTATTGACTTTGCTATTCAGCTAATTTATAAAGACTGCCTTCTTTTTCCTGAAATACCCAGATATTTAAGACAAAATTTCTGTTTGACCTGCATTTTCCAAGTAATTGCCTTAATTCTGTATTATCTATGGAACAAACTTGGGGTTTTCCTTATTGTGGTGGTGATTTAGTCGACAAGTTGTGTTCAGCTCTTGAGACCCCATGGACTATAGGCCACCAGGCTCCTCTGTCCAAGGGATTCCCAGGCAAGAACATGGGAATGGGTTGCCATTTCTTTCTCCAAGGGATCTCCCCAACCCAGGGATCAAACCCAAATCTCCTGCATTGCTGGAGGATTCTTTACTGACTGAGCCACAAGGGAAGTCCTTTATATATTGTAGGCAGATACTTATCTACAGTATTTTTCTGTGAAGATTAGGGCAAGAAGGTAGTCACATAAGGCAGGAGATATTATTAAAAATATGCTGGAAGAGAAATTTTTGAAGTAGACAATGCAATTAGGTTGCTTTAGCTAATTTCATAGCTTTAGAGATCTGAACTGGATTAGCTATATTGTAATGCTCTAATAGTCCAGGAGTCTGCAATTGGGTAAAGTTTCTACAACAAGGCATCTTTCTCAGACTAATAGCCTAACATTTACAGCATTAAGCTTTAAAAGATATTCTGTAGTCTCAGAGAAGTCAAAGAGAGAACTCAGTTCTCCCTGTGGCTTCTGGAAAAGGATGATGAAACTGTTTCAAATCACTGAATAGCCTGGCTAATCCTGCCTGTCTCCAGTTGCATATTCTGAATCCGTAATTCTCACTATGGTAAGCTTTCCAACTATTTTCAGATAACCATACTTGTATTTAGAGTGAGCTGATGCTTTTGTAATGGTAAAACTATGGCTGAAATGTACCTCTTTGGGTATACCCTTAATTCACTTAAAATCTTTTATTCCACTTAATGATTCAGGATTCATATATTTTAGTGGTAGAGAAACAAAAGCATTTTATGTTCAGAGGGAGTATCCATTTACCTCTTGGATGCCTAGTGTTTCGAAAGAAGAAAAAAGACATTACATTACATGAGATATGTATCTTTTCTGTGATGTTAATCATATTTCCTTATCTAAATCCTTTAATAGTTAATTGCATTGCTCTTAAAAATATAAATTTGTTTTTAAAATGCACAGTTTTCAGTACTATTATATACATCTTCTTTAGCTTAGATTCTAATCAATATCCAGTTCTATGGAATCTGAAGTAACATATCTGAAATGAACTGTAGTACCATATTACTTAGCAACACTATGCTGTTTAGACATTTCCCCCTTCTCCTGGGACTTTGGTACTTACTTGAAGAGTGTGAATCAATATTTACTTTCTTTTCCAAAGTAATATTTTAGATACATGTAAGATTTTAGCTGAGTAAGAGATATAAGCTCAACTTTTTGTTTTCTTGTTATGTTTTACATCCATTATTTTAAATCTTGCTTCTAATTAAAGAATAACCCATACTCATTATTTTAGACATAGCTATTCAGATATTTTTAATTTATTTATTTGAATTGGTTCTGAAATAAATGTTATTGTTATACAATATTTATAAAATGGATTTGATAAATATACTGTATGAATAAGATTATGCCTACACTTCAAAAGAACAAATATTTGAACAACTAAAACACTGGCATGAAAAGGATACAATAATTACTTTGAATACACTAAATTCCCAGAGATCTATTAAGTTCAGTCTAAGGAAACTCTAATATGAACATCCTATTAATACTTATTTGAACTACTGAATATACTTGAAAGCAAAAGAAGCTTATGTATTGAATTATTCTGAAACTCATTCTTTTCAGCATTTCAGGATAAGTAGCATCTTTATCCTATTAGTCTGGATTAATAAATATGCATACATTTTGCTTATTTTTAATGTACTTGTGCTGAAAATGTATATATAATGTTTAAAGGTCAGTTGTACAGAGAATTTTTTTTTCCTCTTAGGGACAGATCATCATTAAAAACTGTTAATGTAACTGAAACATCATTAGAGTTTTCAGATTTGGACCACAATGTTGAATATAATGCTTATGTAACAGCTAGTACCAGATTTGGTGATGGGGAAAAGAGAAGCAATATCATCAACTTCCGAACACCCGAGGGAGGTGAGTTCTTATGGATATAGCCCAATTCAGAAAAATAGGATATATCCTATTCAGAAAAAACACATTAAATATAAAGATGTCTTATTAAGCCTAATATCTGTCATAAGTTACAGACAAAATTTCTTTTTGGTCATTCTAGCTGTGTGAAGTTGGGAAAGTTAGTTAATCTCTCTGTGCCTCAATTTCCCATTTGTATGGATATGGTATATCACCTACCTTATTAGGGTCTTTTGATGAGTAAATGAATTTATATATGTAAATGCACTCAGCACAAAACTCAACACGTAGTTAGCAGTTAGTGTGCTTTTTATTTTTTTATTAACTTATAGTTTATTTTGTCTTCGGCTGTGCAGGGTCTTCATTGCTACACACGGGCTTTCTCAGGTTGCAGGGAGTAGAGGCTACCCTAGTTGTGGTGTGTGGGCCGCTCACTGTTCTCACTGTGGAGCTTGGGTCCCAGGGCACAGGCTCCGCAGACGTGGTGCATGGCCTTAGTTACCCCGCAACGCATGGAATCTTCCTGGACCAGGGATTGAACCCATGTCCTCTGCATTGGCAGGGAAACTCTTAACCATTGGACCACCAGGGAGGTCCTAGTGCTTTTTTGTTTTTCGTGAAGCAAAATAAAATGCCTGAAGTAAGCTCTGTGCCTTTGTCCTCTATTTTTCAACTTCAAAATGCTGAGTTAAACTGCAATTTCATAGTATGCATTCTATATTGGAAACTTGTCATAATGTTGTTTTCAAATCCAAGGCATTGCATGATTTAGAACTGGGATAGTATTTTACAAATAAGAAATCCATTTGTCCTCTGCTTGGATATTGCTATGGTAGGGTGTTAATGAGGATGGCCCAATGAGCCTTACAGATTTCATTTCTGACTTCTAATTAGATATTCTTAATTTTTAACAGTCATAACTTAGACACAGGTAACATTTAGAACAGTTCAGACATTATTTAGAGACACAGGTACACTTTGTGTTCAACTGTTTTTTTTTTTTTTAGCACCAAGTGATCCTCCCAAAGATGTTCATTATTCAAACCTCAGTTCTTCATCAATACTTCTTTTTTGGACACCTCCTTCAAAACCTAATGGGATTATACAGTATTATTCCGTTTATTACAGAAATACTTCAGGTACTTTCATTCAGGTAAGACCTGAGTTTTCTCCTATTTCTTTATTTATATCTCTCCACTCTGTTGATAAAGACTTGACATAGTAAAAAAATGTCTCTTATCTTACATTGAGAATTATGTATAGACATTTTATAAAACTCCCATTGACATAGAAAGATGTGGTGGAGAAAAAAGTATATTTTAATCTGTCTATGCATGCAGACATGCACTCAGACACACACACATTTCTGGATCAGCTTCAAATGTGTTACCAACAGTGATGAAGCTGCCACCTTTTAAACATTCTGCATATAGATGTGGCCCTCAGGGCTGTTTCTGCAGGGAATTGATGGTCTCACTTACCCTCAATTGTTTTTCAGCTAAAAAAATTTCCCTTTGTTTGTATATGATAGTTTTCATGCTTGGATGCGTTTGTGTACTTTTCTTTAAGTCTAAAAATTTTCCATTGTTAGTAGGAGGGGGGTTATCATCATCATCATCATTGTTATCACTTAGTATCAGATGTAATGAAAGTACCAAAAATGTGCTTATTAAACTTGTGATATGCAAGGTTATAGGGTGGCATAATTTTCAGATGGAGATTTTCTGAAATATGAACAAAACTAGTTATTAAAATAGCTAAAGTGCCTTTCATTTAGAGAAATATTTTTAGTTTTTCAGCTGGATTCCTTTATTTCTCCAAACTAACTATTTCACAGAACTCTAACATATGAAAAGAATATAACTGGACAATTGTAATTGAATCAGGAATCGGAGAGTTGGAATATAATTTGGAAAACACTGATAGAGAAGAAATAATGGCCGGCCATTTACAGAATACGTCCCTCACTACTAGGAAGTGTTGACTGAATGTTAATTATTACTCTGACCACTATTAAGTCATTGTATCCTTTTTAGTAGAAGGAGAATAGAGAGGAGTCTTATTAATTCTAAGTTACCTAATTCAATTTGTGATTAATAACCCGTTTAGCCACTAGAGTTAGTTCTTGTGAGCAGAAAGCTCTCTGAAGTAGGACTTGCTTTAGTGCGGTTTAGGCTAGTGAGAATAATCAGAGCAGAGTTCTGCACGCTGTCTTAGGCCTTACCCAGCAGTGAGGAAAAGACAGTCCAGAGGTTGGTTGGATTTTAATATTCTGCTCCAGGCCCTCTAAGAGTGAGGTTGCATAAGAAAGGACAATGTGTTTATTTGTTTGACTCTGTACATCAAACAATTTTTGCTGCTTCTTTTTGATCTGCTCTATTTGGGGAAGGAAAATGGAAACTTAATGTGCATTTTTACCAAGTTTGTTTATAAATTTAATAATTTGTCATTATGTCATCAGGCCATTCAAAATGCAGATTTCTTTTCATGCATTTAACCAATATTCAGTATTCAAAATTCAGTAGATCTGAACCTTCGCAAAGGTTTTGTCTCTACTACAGTTTACTTTATGGCTTGTGTTTGATTCTGTTTTGATTCTCTTTGTCCACATCTAAGTAATCAAGGGCAAAAGTTTAAGTATAATTTCAAGGTGATTTTATGAACTTTCTTATTCAAACCTGAGTATATAATATGATCCCATTTGCAATTCCTCTATCTTAGAAAATGTAATCTTTTATTAAGTTATCTTAAGAATGCTTTTAAGTGGAACAGCTGCAAGAAGGCACAGGCTAATGATGTTAAAACATCTCTCATATTCCTTGAAGTTCATCTGTGCTTTAATTTATTTCTAAAATTAGTTAAATATAGCATAAAAATCTTCACTACTTAGTTTTCTATTTTGGATTGGTAGAGTAGAAGAAATCATCAAAATGAAAATTATGTAGCAGGATAGATGTATAGCTATTTTCTTCCTTCTCTTTCTTCTTCCCATAGAACTTTGTAGTATCTCTTATGCATGACACATCAGTCTACTTTCTATTCCTGGCGTCTGCTACTTGTCTTAACCCCCTCATCCCATAGCAGTCAATGTGAAGAAAAGGATTGTGTGTGACTCTTGTCTTTCCATTCCCTGATATCCTCTACTACGGTATCATAATGCTCAATAAATGTTTAATCACAGAACATAAAAATAACTATAGCAGACCAATATTATTTTCAGTAATTAGTTATGATTTGGAGCACTTGAGTTGGTTGTGAAGTGATCTGTCCTTCTTCTGACTTTGTGGAATTTAAGCTCCTTGCTACAACTTGGGAATCCATTGTACCTCCTCCGATTGTGGCCCATTGTGTTTCATATTAACTCTTCTCCATTTTATCATTCACCCACTTGTGTCCCTTCTGTGTCTCTGACACAGTGTCTTTTATTAAAAAGTGTGAAATAAGTCCTGGTTTGATTAATCAAGTTTGAGAAGTTTTTACTAAATACCTTCCGACTGTATTTATATTCTCAAAGAATAAGCCTTAATTAGATAATTTGAACCACAACACTTTTTCTCCCCCTCAAAATAAATAGATGAATGGGATAATCATCTGGATAACTGGTCTGGTTCTAAATGTGTTACATGTCTGTGCATGTTTACTCACACTCAGCATGAATAAACTCTGGGTGATTCAGAGTAATTTGTTACTTACTGTCATCAGGGTCATTTGTAATCAGAGTAAATTTTATAGCAAAGAAAAATAGAAAGGCTACATTAATATTTTAAGAGATAAATTATATAAGCCAGTTATGCCATCTGTATAGTATATGTGTTGGAAGATATTAAAGTTCCCAGATCATATTTTGTGTGAGATTAATAATGTCTTGTCTGTTACTTAATAAGTCACCACAAAATTGAAGTAGATCTTTTATGACACTCACTACCCCACATACTGTCAAAGAACCACAAAATTTTGCAGAATTTAGTTTGTTCATACATCACAAAACTATGCCAACTATAAATTTTAGTCAAATTGATTATCCTATGTTATTAATTTAAATTAGCCTTTTGCTGTTTATTACTTTTATTTTATCATATGCCAGAGATGGTGTTGTTTTATTTGCCACATATAATCTAATCTTCAAAAGCCCTCTGTGAAGGCTTTTGAAGAGGTTCTTCCCATTTTACAGTCAGAGGATGAGAAGTTTTGTGATCAGATGATTTATATGGGACTTCTGTCCAAACTGAATACATGTCTTTGGCCTCTGAGGACTTCGTGCAGATTGGAATGACTCAGATTTCTCTGTATAGAAATATATTATTATAAAATTATTCATACTTAATTCATATTTAATTACACGCACAACTTTTTAAAAAGTATTTTTATTTTAGAGTTGATTTTTCCAAGTTTTGTATTTAAAATTTGGTAAAGGAAGGAATGATCACAATTCCTTAATTATCATAAAATGGCTTGGAACAAATATAACTATGAGTCAGGCAAGAGAATTTAAAATTTTTTGTTCGCTCATGTGAGAATGTATCCAACTGCTTTCCTATTTCTCTACATGAGTGTAGAAAAAGAAAGGGCTTATGAAAGATGAATTATAACCATTTGAACTCAGAGAGAGAGCTGGAGACTTTCATAATTCCTACATTGTTGATAGGAAGGAAAAAAAGAAAATTTTTATAATATTCCAAAACTTGTTTAAAAATATATAGTCAAATTTTGAAAACTACTTGAATGTTTTGTAAGGAAAACAAACACTGATCAGCACATTGTAGCCTTCTCAGGCCACCACTGAACCTTCCCCAAAGCCAGCTAAGCTTGGAGTTTTAACTCTTTGCTAATCTGTGTATCAATTTAATGAAACTGCTACCACCGATTCCTCTTTTAGTACAAATATATTTCCAGTTTAATTATTGCAATAAAAAGATTCTATGTTGATTTTCCTCAAAAATTAACATACTAAAACAATGAGGCAACCAATCTATGAATAATACTTTGAAATGCTTATGTATACTAAAAATATATTCTGAACAATTAAAAACAATATGTTTATTTTTCAGAATTTTACACTCCATGAAGTAACCAATGACTTTGACAATATGACCGTATCTGCAATAATAGATAAATTGGCAATATTCAGCTACTATACATTTTGGCTAACTGCAAGTACTTCAGTTGGAAATGGGAATAAAAGCAGTGGCATAGTTCACGTATACACAGATCAAGACAGTATGTAAATGAAAAGCATTTGTTAATCTTTAGTAGGATTAATTGAAAACTTTATAATTTTTCAGAATCTTTTTCTATTTGTATGTATTGGTAATAACATCTATATTTTATTTAGGCACATTTATCTATGAAAATGCATTAATATAGCTATAAACCTATTACAACAGTAACAACCTTTTCTATTCATGGAAACTGCTACCATCCATTTATAAAAGTTCTGTCACATTTATTGCTTCAAAAGGTATTACAGCCGTCAGTTATGGGCGTGAAAAATACTGCTGCATCTGTGGACAGAGTTCCCAATACTTCATATCCATTTGCTCTAAAAGTGACATTGTTCCTCTCTCTAGCAGCTTGTTTCCTTTTCAGTCTTTGAACTCACAAAGGACTTTATGCCGCATTTTGTTCTTATTGTGTTTGTTTATGACTAATATGCCCCAAATACCTTTTTTTTTTTTAACTCTGGCAGTTTCTTCATGTGGATTCTGCAGAATCCTGTTTGTGCGGAGTATTCAGAAAACTGTAATGATTGACGCTCTTGTTTTTTAGGTTTCAGTTTCGAGAATACAGTGATGCACGGATCACTGCCTATTTCTTCTAGTGGTTGTCTCTATGGTCCATTTATTTTTAAAGGCTAGTCTCTTATTGAGAAACGATATTGACCTAAATTGCTGCTGAGAGTAAAATTTCGTGTTTATTACTTGAAGATTATAAATTGGCAGACACTTTAAGTGTGAAGAGTGAATGCTTTCCCCGTTGTTGGGATAGTCTTTCAAATTGTTTACTCACTGATCAGCAGCGTAGCTATGATAGAATATGCAGAATATATAAGTTTGGGGAGTTTTAGCTAAAATGTTTAGAGCAGTATGTGGTCAACATCATTTCAGGCATTCTTTAAATGCAGATCTCCCCCAAGATTTTCACCAACCTATAATGCTTTATCAGTCAGTATTATGGCACCATGAATAATAAACGCTGTGTACTATTCCTGGTGAGAGATCCTAGGTGACTTCATATGTACAATAAGGATACTCTCCAGAAGAAAGAAATTAAAAATCTGGGTATACATGCATATATACATGCTTGCACACTCATAGTCTCATACACATAATTTCCATCACATACTCAAAATCTACACAGACTCATAATACCCATTTTGTAGGAAAGAAAAGCCAAGAGAGTATTGTATAAAACAATTCACACATATTAGAGATGACAAGGTTTACCTTGAATGATTTGAACATAATTTTAATGTAATTATTTAGAAGGTATTTTGTAGTAGATGATGTTACCACGTGTGGATCTAAACAACGTAGAAGCTGGTGATGTAGTAGTTGCCCTATCAACAATGAGCCTCTGATTTGTGAATTTACTTAAATTTTACCTAGGGTGACTGACGATTTTTGTATTTTGCACATTACCTATCATAGTACCTGAAGGAGTTGTTGGAAACCTGACTTACGAGTCCATTTCGTCAACTGCAATAAATGTAAGCTGGGGCCCTCCGTCTCAACCAAATGGTCTAGTCTTCTACTATGTTTCTTTGAGCTCACAGCAGACTCCTCGCCACGTGAGACCACCTCTAGTTACATATGAGAGAAGCATGTATTTTGATAATCTGGAAAAATATACTGACTATATATTAAAAGTCACTCCATCAACAGAAAAGGGATTCTCTGATACATATACTGCCCAACTACACATCAGAACCGAAGAAGATGGTAGGCTGGACCCTTTTATTGCCTATTACGCAGATAGTTGGTGTTCTCTTATTTATGTTGCTTTCTGCTAGAAAACATTATTCTGATCACTACATAGATTCTGTTTGTTCTTAAGTAATTAGCCTTTCAATAAACACAGTAAGGTTTAGAGTTTCTTAAAATTATTACCTGTTGATTTAATTAAGTCCCAGTATTATTGAAGCCTCTTCTTTTTGATACTAATTCACTTTGGTTTCATTTAATATTCTTTTTTTCTTTTATAGTCCCAGAAACTTCACCAGTAATCAACACTTTTAAAAACCTTTCGTCTACCTCAGTTCTTTTATCATGGGATCCCCCAGTAAAACCAAACGGTGCAATAATAAGTTATGATTTAACTTTACAAGGACCAAGTGAGAATTATTCTTTTGTTACTTCTGATAATTATGTAATACTGGAAGAGCTTTCACCATTTACATTATATAGTTTTTTTGCTGCAGCAAGAACTGTAAAAGGACTCGGTCCTTCCAGTGTTCTTTTCTTTTACACAGATGAGTCAGGTAAGCCAGAATCCATGTTTCTTCCAATGATTTTACTGTTGCAGCACTTGCTCTCTCTTTTTAAGGAAAAGCATGGAAAATGAAAGGATATTTGATTGACTATTTGTAACAGGCTGACAACTATTCATCTGTTCTGCTGAACATTGTAAATTTGAGTTTCAGAACCAAGTGTTCTGTTTAAAACTACTTTGGAACTTCTGAGTTCCAAGTACAAAGCATCACTACCTATGCTCTTTATTTCTGCAATTAAAATGCGATCAGTTTATAAATCTTTAACTAGTGTCTTCCAGAAGCTAGAGTCACGCTGCTACTTTTCTGCTAAAAATGTTATGAATGTAAGTTTTGTAATGTGTTTTCCTGCAGTGCCTTTAGCACCTCCTCAAAATTTGACTTTAGTCAACTACACTTCAGACCTTGTATGGCTGAAATGGAGTCCAAGTCCTGTTCCAGGCGGTATTGTTAAAATATATAGTTTAAAAATTCATGAACATGAAACTGATACTATATTTTATAAGGTAGGTTGATTATAACACTGTATGTTTATTTCAAAAACTTAGAAATTCAAGTAAAATATTTTGACATGTGGGGGAAAATGGACTGTTTTAAATAACACAAAAGCCATCTTTTTTTAAAGAAAAAAATCTCTTTGGTTTCCCACAGTTTAAGGATGCTTGAGGAAAACACAGCAAACGTTTGTCAGATATGGAAGTAAAGTACTTTGTAGAGCATTTTAATCTAGAATGTAAAACTTTTAGATATCTGCAAGTTAAGAAATAATTACACCATTTTGTTAATGCTGCAAAAGTATACAGTAAATTTTTTCAGACTATTTATAGCCTGTTATTGTCTTAGTGTAATATATTTCTACAGTCTACAGCTTAGGGGTAAGCTTCAAGGGTCACATTCCAAGACCTCCAGTGCATGTCTGAAATCAAGGATAGTACTAAACCTATATGTACTATGTTTTTTTCTTATACATCCATAGCTATGATGAAGTTTGCTTTATAAGTTAGGCACAGTAAGAGATTAACAACCATAACTAACAACAAAATTTAAAAAAATTATAATAAACTGTAATAAGAGTTAGATGAATGCTGTCTCTATCTCTTAGAACATCTTCTTGTATAAATTTAACACCTTTTCCATCTTAACTAAGCATTTATCAAACACTGTGGCCATAACTTTTGCAGTTTGAGATACAACAGCAAAACTTGTACAATTTTTTCCCTTCTTCCCCGATTCACAGCATTTCACAGAAACTTCATTTTTACCACAGATCTTGGCAGCCTCAGCATACAATTTTTTTCTTTCCTTATTAAGTCGAGAACTTCCATCTTTTCACCTAAAGGAAGCACTTGACGGCTTCTCTTTGGCGTCTCTGAATTGCCAGCATCACTACTCTTGTACTTTGGGGCCATTATTAAGTAAAATAAGGGTGTGTTGAATACAAGACTGTGCTACCCCACAGTTGATCTGATGACCAAAGAGCCTGTGGACTAGCGGGCAGGAAAGACAGGACCCAGGGATAATTCACACCCAGGGCAAGATGAAGCAGGATGCCTGGAGATTGCATCACGCAACTTAGACTAGCTCACAATGTAAAAGTTATGAATTATCTGTCTCTCCAATTTTCCATTTAGTATCTTGAATTGAGCTTGACTGCAGGTAACTGAAACTGTGGAAAATGAAACCATAACTAAGGGAAAACTACCAAGTGTTAAAAGAAGTACCAAGTGAATATTTTTAACCTTTTCAGAGATGTGTTTATCCTGGACTTCTAGTAACCTTTCCAGATATAGTATAATTTCACACTAATTGGTCTTTTAAGATATATCATTATTCTTTTTCCTTCACTGCTAATTAGTTTACATTCTAAAGGCCTTTTTACGTCTCCATTTTTAGGTTTCAGAATCAATGAAAAATACCCAAAGAACTAATGTAACAAAGGATCTCAAATATACCTGTATGATTTATAGCACTTAATTGCCAAAATATATTGTAATACACTAGCATTTATTTGAGAAGTTGTTCTTTTTTCCCCAAAGGCAAATGAAGTACTGGAATGCTTTTCAGTTACAGCATGGAGGATGCAAAAACTCTGCGTAAACATTGTCCCCAGTATTATATGCATTATAATTTATTACTGATGGTAAATTATTTTTATAGCATGTGTAGCTTACAAAGTGAATAATAAAAAAATCGAAAGTAGTGAGTAATGCTATAGCATAAGGAATAATGATTTTTATTATCTTTAAATAATATGGAATGTGGCCATTCCTAGGACAAACACGTATGAATATTGAAGTGTGGATGTATATGTGTGATCTTTCCCTCAGAGCAGAGATGTCTACCATCAACACCATTAGAATAGTCATGAACTAAGGACTCTGGCATCAAATTATTGGTTGGAATAATTGCCAGTAATTTCCAAATGGTTGGAACCCTGCCTTCAAGACTTACTGTGCTGCCTTAGGGCAGTTACTTAACTTTTATGACTCAGTTCCCTCAAGTGCAAAATGGGATTTGTAAAGATGCAGCCATTAAAAAGTAAAGCTTGTAAAAGGAAAATCTATATAAAACATTTAAAACAATCCCCAGTATGTGAAAACATGCTACCTATTCTTTTTGTCATAGTTTACAAAAGAATGAATTTCATTCAGCATTGTAATAACACTAAACCTGAAGTGACAGTACTTCTTTACCTGAATATGTTATATTCTAAGATTTTTAGACATCTATTCTCTCAATAGAAATGCTGCCATTGACATTTCACTATAAATATTTTTATTTTAGAAACATAATATTCATACCATAAAGTATTCAATATATCCTTTTGGAGGTGGAAGAGTAGTTTTCCTTCAAAATCTACTACTGCTTTTGTTTCACACCTACTTTGTCTTCCATGGATGTTCCTAGCCTTGTTTCTTCCGGATTCCTTTGTACGTATCCATATGCCATCTTCTTCCCTTTCCCAGTATCTAGGGTATCTGCTTTCCTCCCACTGTGTGCCTTTCTTTCTGAGGGCGTTGTCCTGTTTTCCTTTCTGTTTTCAGCTTCCTCTGTGTCCCAACTATGAGTTTCTTTTCTTCCTTTTCTCTCTTACCTTTCCAATGATCTGTGTGTCTGTGGAGGCATGATAATTCTTGGACCACTCCAAATGTTCCTGCCTTCCCAGTCAGGTCACTCACACATACTGAAAGAAATTATTTAGTAAAAATTTCTGCTAAAAATAGGTTTGAAAATATTACTTACTCATGTCTCCCTTTTACAGTTTACTTTGTCAGTCTGTCTACATCCAATAAGCTACTCACACTTTTTACTATAATATCTTGAGTTCAGTCATTTCTCTGCATACTCACTCACCCTTCCTAACCCAAGTCAAAACTTATCTGCTTGTGTTTAATTTGTTCTCCGTATATAGTTGTTGGTAGATTTTTCTAATGAATATAACAGTTCCTGGATGACAGGGACCATGTCATATATATCTTTATAATCTCCTGGCTATCTAACCATGTGCTTTGTAAATAGTAATTAAGAAAGAATGAAAGAAAATTGTATAATACAGTGAATTCATAAAGGATATCAATAACTTGTAAGAGATTATGTAGCTTACAAAGTGAATAATAAAAAAATCAAAAGTAGTGAGTAATGCTATAGCATAAGGAATAATGATTTTTATTATCTTTAAATAATATGGAATGTGGCCATTCCTAGGACAAACACGTATGAATATTAAAGTGTGGATGTATATGTGTGATCTTTCCCTCAGAGCAGATATGTCTACCATCAACACCATTAGAATAGTCATGAACTAAGGACTCTGGCATCAAATTATTGGTTGGAATAATTGCCAGTAATTTCCAAATGGTTGGAACCCTGCCTTCAAGACTTACTGTGCTGCCTTAGGGCAGTTACTTAACTTTTATGACTCAGTTCCCTCAAGTGCAAAATGGGATTTGTAAAGATGCAGCCATTAAAAAGTAAAGCTTGTAAAAGGAAAATCTATATAAAACATTTAAAACAATCCCCAGTATGTGAAAACATGCTACCTATTCTTTTTGTCATAGTTTACAAAAGAATGAATTTCATTCAGCATTGTAATAACACTAAACCTGAAGTGACAGTACTTCTTTACCTGAATATGTTATATTCTAAGATTTTTAGACATCTATTCTCTCAATAGAAATGCTGCCATTGACATTTCACTATAAATATTTTTATTTTAGAAACATAATATTCATACCATAAAGTATTCAATATATCCTTTTGGAGGTGGAAGAGTAGTTTTCCTTCAAAATCTACTACTGCTTTTGTTTCACACCTACTTTGTCTTCCATGGATGTTCCTAGCCTTGTTTCTTCCGGATTCCTTTGTATGTATCCATATGCCATCTTCTTCCCTTTCCCAGTATCTAGGGTATCTGCTTTCCTCCCACTGTGTGCCTTTCTTTCTGAGGGCGTTGTCCTGTTTTCCTTTCTGTTTTCAGCTTCCTCTGTGTCCCAACTATGAGTTTCTTTTCTTCCTTTTCTCTCTTACCTTTCCAATGATCTGTGTGTCTGTGGAGGCATGATAATTCTTGGACCACTCCAAATGTTCCTGCCTTCCCAGTCAGGTCACTCACACATACTGAAAGAAATTATTTAGTAAAAATTTCTGCTAAAAATAGGTTTGAAAATATTGCTTACTCATGTCTCCCTTTTACAGTTTACTTTGTCAGTCTGTCTACATCCAATAAGCTACTCACACTTTTTACTATAATATCTTGAGTTCAGTCATTTCTCTGCATACTCACTCACCCTTCCTAACCCAAGTCAAAACTTATCTGCTTGTGTTTAATTTGTTCTCCGTATATAGTTGTTGGTAGATTTTTCTAATGAATATAACAGTTCCTGGATGACAGGGACCATGTCATATATATCTTTATAATCTCCTGGTTATCTAACCATGTGCTTTGTAAATAGTAATTAAGAAAGAATGAAAGAAAATTGTATAATACAGTGAATTCATAAAGGATATCAATAACTTGTAAGAGATTAATTTAAAATATAATTCTAACTATGAGTGCCCTGAGAGTTAGTATTCTTGCTAAATTTCTGCCACTGAAATGTTTAATGTATAAGTCAAACTGGTTTATATTTTAGATCAGGTATAATACAGTATTCTTAAAATTATACCACATAAGAGGTTGTCTTTTTTTCCCCATAACTATTAATCTTAAGTGCTCTTTGTGTTAGGACAATCTTCTTTGAATGAAGTGTTTGTATTTGATGGTAAAATTTTCAGTGAGAAACCATATCCTTTTTTGTATATCTGTGATAATTGTTTTGTTCGTTTTTTTTCATTTTCCTAAGAGATTGCATAAAATCAGAAATTTAGGAATTGTCTGGGAAAAACTCTTAATTTATCAAGCTTAGCTTCATAGGAGCAGAGGTTCTGTTTCAGGCACTGCTGTATTCCCAGTGCGTAGTGTATAATAGCTGAGGAATAAATTAGTTTACAAATGGAATGTTACTGAGAACTAAAAAATGAATTTTGATGAATTCAAGAAAAAGTACCACTGACTGCTCATAAGTTGGATTCCTGTTGAGGACTTTAATTTTAGCAAATTTAAAAGAAGTAATCATACGTGATTCTAAGTAAAAACCAAAGGGACAAAATAAAACACTTCAGCTTTAAAAACCAATGGCAATTATATTCGTCAGGGTTGATGGGTGTCCAGTTCATCCTTGTGCGTTTAGCTGAGCATACCCTGGGGCACACACAAAAACTGTTTAATTTTTAAATTTTTAATTAAAAATACCCATGCTTATTAAATCATAGGTTAAACACAGAAGACATAATTTTTATGTGTTAAAAATATTTCTTCCAATTATAAATAAGTTTTTTGATGATGCATTTTGACTAAAAATTTATTTTTCCTGCTTTTCAGAATATTTCAGGTTTTCAAACTGAAGCCAAGCTTGTTGGACTGGAACCAGTCAGCACCTATTCCATCAGCATAACTGCCTTTACTAAAGTGGGAAATGGCAATCAATTTAGTAACGTAGTAAAATTCACAACCCAAGAATCAGGTTAGACGGGGTTTTTGGATCCTAAAATGTTTGATTTTGTATGTAACACTTTTCCCTTTCCTTTCCCGGTTTACGTGACTAAGTATCAATATTTAATTGTTCACTCAAAGGAGCTGAATTTTAGTGCTTTCAGGCTAGACTGGATCTTGTTGTGTGCAATCAGATAGATATATACTTATACATGTTTTTTCATTTTGGACCCAGGAAGTTGAAATAAAAGACTAGTTTAGGAGCGAAGTATACTACTAGATATATATGAAAAGAACCTAATTCCTAATACTACCTGAAATTGTTGGGAGAAAAAAAAAAGAGAAAAGTCATTAATCACTTTTAACTGGTTGATTCATATCTTCATGATAAAAAAATCTATGACTTTTTTGTATATTGTGCAAAATATTGTCACAATATATACAATAATGTATATTGTGACATTTGAAGAGTACTAGTCAGCATGTAAGCTTGTATTTCTCCAGGGCTCATCTGTGACATGTGGTGGGGACTATGAAGACTATGAAATACCATTGGTCTAATTAAACAACTTGCCTGTGTGTCATGACATACCATAGCTCAATTTTGTGTGTTGAATAATTTTCATATAGAACTGATTTAAAGATTTAATACTTTTCCTTCTTTCAACTGGAAGCACATGTTTTTTAATGGCATCTCTTCCTCGCTCTCTCTCTTTTTTTTTAATTGATTAAGCACTTGATTCTGTGCTAGTCTTTTCTTCCCTGTAGGTCTGGATGCATTTAATGAATCCCTAAATTGAAATTGTAGACCACTCACTGATAATCATTTCACATTAATTTGTGAATTCCTGATGCTTTGCTTTCATGGCATACCCCTAAGACATGCTTAGTAAATAGTATTTATAGCTAATAAAAGTGCACGCTCTGAAATCAGTGTCTAGATTTGAATCCAAGCTCTGCGACTTACTAGTAAAACCTTGGCAAAGGCACATGACTCCTCTGAGCCTCTATATCTATAACCAAAAAGAAACATATTTTAGCAGTAGCCACCCATAGGCTATTATGAAAAAATATTTGAAGAGATCCATATAAAGCACTTATTAGAGTGTTGGACGCACAAGTACTCAAAAAATATTACTGTTGCCCTGTTCCCATAATTCAGATGAAGAAGCCATGATTCAGGCAGATGAGATGAAAAGGGCTGAGACAATTAGTGAAAAAACTGAACTGGAACATCAGCCTCTGACCTCTAGTGAAAAGTGGACATGACTATAGGAAATGTGTATCATAAATTAGGGATACTATGGAAAAATGCTAAACCCATGAAAAAAGAAACATTTAAACCATTTACACACAAATTATATTGATAAAAATTAAGGCTAATCTTGTGGACAGTGTTCTATAAACCTATAAATATATTTTACCAGTGAAATAAAATAATTCCATAAAACCCTGTGCCCTGATTGGTTAAATAAAATTTTCAACTTGACGTGTTATAATATCTGCTGGTTAATTAATTGTTTTTAGGTTTATAGAGTCAGTAAAATGGATGTTCACAAAATCTAAGTTTATTATCTAAACTTAAGCACATTATCAACCTTCTCTTGTTCATTTACTTTTGAAAATAATGGTATATGTTTTTGAAAATAAGAAAGCAAATAATTAAACATATTTAACTGCCAGAACCTTGGATCAACAGAGGAATCATCCTTTCTTTAAATGCCACACACCCCACTAAGTTATTATGCTTTAGTTCTGATGCCTTTATCTTACAGAGGATGAAGGATTTGTAAAGACAGAAATTTAGGCCAGATGAGAGAACTGTAGGCAGGTCAAATATGATTTGAATATTCTTTAAATAATTCTGCTTCCCCATAAGGACAGGTTTTTTCTTTTTACTGCTTGTTGTTTGTAATCCACAAACTGACAATATGCAAATTTTCTTTACAGCATCTTCTTTTTATTGTAACAAGATAAGCTATGCCAACATGACAGGACATTTAGATAATCAGACATTTCCCTAGAAGTACCCACTCTCAGGGTCACTTTGGTGGGCCTGGGGTATTTCTCTTTAACCAGATCTGCCAAATACAGTGGCTACTTCCAAGGAAACTCAGGGAAGTTCTAGAAAAAACTGGGACTGAATTAAAAACTGGGGCTGGTTTCCATTTTCAGTCTTTTTTTTTAAAGTACTGAGGGATCTGGTCTTCATGATTTTTACAAAAAAGTCATCTGAATAGATAAGCAAAATCCCAAATTTAGTTACATGCTTCCTAGTATTGTTAGGCCACATTGGTGAGCACCTGCATCCATATCTATGTGTGCATGCTTAGTCGTTCAGTTGTGTCCGACTCTTTGCGACCCTATGGACTGTAGCCCACCAGGCCCCGCTGTCTGGGATTTTCCTATGGCAAGAATACTGGAGTGGGTTGCCATTCCCTTCTCCAGGGGATCTTCCCGACCCAGGGATGGAATTCGTGTCTCCTGCCTTGCAGGCAGATTCTTTACCCACTAAGCCACCTGGGATGTTTTGCGTTAGAACATTCCATCATAAAGTATGGCTAAGACTGCTCCTTCCCATTAAAAGATGAATAGGGCAGGCTTCAACCACTGCCTGAACTTGAAGCTGGCTACCCAGTTGCTTCTGAGTATTTGAGGTTGGGCCTAGGAGAATATTCAGTGGTGGATTCAGTATTGTAAGGATTAACATGGTTACATAGAAAATGGGCCATTTGATTCAGTCCATGTTAAGAAGTTTCTGAGCACATGTTCAAAGGCTCAGATGGTAAAGAATCTGCCTGCAGTGTGGGAGACCTGGGTTCGACCCCTGTGTGGGGAAGATCCCCTGGTGAAGGGAACGGCTACCCACTCCAGTATTCTTGCCTGGAGAAGTCCATAGACAGACAGGCCTGGCGGGCCACACCCCATAGGGTTGCAAAGAGTTGGACATGACTGAGTGGCTTACACACTTGAAAGGTTGATAGGTTACATTTTTATTCTGTCTCTACTCCTAAACATGATTTTATCTAGCAATCACATAATTAAATCATTTATCTGTTGCTGCTGCTGCTGTCACATCGGTTGTGTCCAACTCTGTGCGACCCCATAGACAGCAGCCCACCAGGCTCCCTGTTACATGTGTATAAATTTTAACTTTGGGCATTTGCTTGTCTCTTAAGTTCCAGATGCTGTACAGAACATAGAGTGTATGGCAACCAGCTGGCAGTCAGCTTCAGTGAAGTGGGATCCACCCAAAAAAGCAAACGGAATAATTACACATTATACGATAACAGTTGGAAGGAATGCTACAAACATCTCTCCCCAAGATCACATGTACACATTCATGAAACTTCTTGCCAATACCTCTTATGCCTTTGAAATAAGAGCTTCAACCTCAGCTGGTGAAGGTAATGAGATGACCTGCAACGTCAGCACGCTGCCTGAGACAGGTAACTAATGTGTAACGGGTGATTGACCTGAAGCCAGTCATTTACTGAAAAAGGGAATTAACCTGCAACGCATAACTGTTCCTGGACTGGATCTTAAGTTTGCCAATAACAGTTGTAATCTTTAGAGCATATTTGTCCAAAACTGTATAAGAAATATTAAAAAATAGAACACATGCTTTTTTATCCCACATGTTACATAAGGACCAGCTGCGTGGTACATTGAACCACCTCCACAGCAATGGGAGATTGAAAGGAGGAAAAAAGAGAAAATCTTTTGTGTTTTACAAGTATGTATTTCTTATTACATAAACACCAAACATTGAATTATATCTTATAATAATTTAAAATAGGGGATAAATATATAATATCTTTTTAAAATTGGTTTTTGTGGCATTCTTAATGCTTCCCTGAATTCCATACTTGCAGTGTCAGCTCAATTTTTTTCTATTTCCTTCTCTTCATAACAGCCTTCATCTTTATATTATTGGGGTAAAGATATCTAGGTCACTAAGCTCTAGGCTTCAAAGAAGAAAGCTCTCATCTCCCCCAACAGTGATCCATTCTATAGCATAATCTCCTTCATCTTCTTTCATCTCTAATTATTATACTTCTTCATATCAATGAAAACCTGATTCCTTCCTGGTAATACTACTTCCTTGGAGGTCCTCCCTAGTGGGGACTGTGGGGGTTGACATAATTGTTTACCTCTGGCATCTCTAGATCCTTATCTTGGAAACATCTTTTAGCCCTTTCCTCCTTTTGAAATCAGCATCACCTAGTTTTCTCTACTTTTCTGTCTTTGAGGGTATACACCGCAGAGCTTCAGGACACAGTGTGCCTTCTCTCTGATTTCCGCATCCATATCAGCATCCTTTTCTTCTCATCCTTCTAAGGCAACATTTCTTGAGACTTCAGGGTTTTCCCTGTTCATCTGGAATGGATGCATCTCAAAATATGTCACTGTGACTCATCTTCCAGGGTATTCCCTACTCTGAATGGACCTCACTGTTTGTTTCACTAGATGCTGGCTGATGAACAGTGCTGGAGAAAAATGTAAATGGTTCTACTTTGTTTAGCTATTTTCTAACTCTCCCAACTGCCCTACAATCTTCTATACAGTGTACATCCCTATTTACACTTCATCAATTTTCCATAGGAAAATTCTGCTCTTACTCAGAACATAATCTAACCCCACTATCATCCATCTTTGATGTTCTTATTCATTTTACTAATAGCATCAAAGATATTGACTTGCTTTCCTTCAAAATTTACCCATATCTTTATTTATATCTCAAAATATCCTCCCTTGGGTATGTCACTACCTTTCTGTTTACAGGAATCCAACTGTTCACTTTTTTTTCAAACTTATGTCTCTTCTAAAACATAGCTCCATCAATTTAATCTACTTTCTCATACACTTTATTTTATTTCTCACACTTTTGTATGCGTACACACACACCAACAATCCCACAAATAGTTAGAAAATTTCAACTGAGGCCCTGGTTGATATTTCAACCCTCAGTCAGTTCCGTTCAGTTCAGTCGCTCAGCTGTGTCCGACTCTTTGCAACTCCATGAATTGCAGCACGCCAGGCCTCCCTGTCCATCACCAACTCCTGGAGTTTACTCAAACTCATGTCCATCGAGTCGGTGATGGCATCTTATCCCCTGTCATCCCCTTCTCCTCCTGCCCCCAATCCCTCCCACCATCAAGGTCTTTTCCAGTGAGTAAACCCTTTGCATGAGGTGGCCAAAGTATTGGAGTTTCAGCTTCAACATCAGTCCTTCCAATGAACACCCAGGACTGATCTCCTTCAGGATGGACTGTTTGGATCTCTTTGCAGTCCAAGGGACTCTCAAGAGTCTTCCCCAACACCACAGTTCAAAAGCATCAATTCTTCAGCGCTCAGCTTTCTTTACAGTCCAACTCTCACATCCATACATGACCGCTGGAAAAACCATAGCCTTGACTAGATGGACCTTTGTTGGCAAAGTCTCTGCTTTTTAATATGCAGTCTAGGTTGGTCATAACTTTCTTTCCAAGGAGAGAGCATCTTTTAATTTCATGGCTGTGATCACCATCTGTAGTGATTTTGGAGGCCAAAAAAATGAAGTCTGACACTGTTTCCACTGTTTTCCCATTTATTTCCCATGAACCCTAATGATATTCAAAGTGAAATTCATGTAATGTGAATTCTCCTTTTCTTCCTCACTTTTCTATACCTGTTCTTTACAATCAGTTGGGGACAAAGCCTCATATTTTTGTGTGATTCTTCCTCCGACCTCTCCTACATATAATCAGGGCTTATCAATTCAATCTCTGCCATTTGCCCCTTCTTATTCAACTTGACTGTCCCCATTTAATTTCAGACTTGCTGCTTCCTATAATAATACCCTAAAGTGGCCTTATCACCCATTTTATCCAGCCTGCCCATCAGTACCATCTCTCCACCCACTTACTTTGATTGAATTGGCTCTAACATACAATCTAGAACCTTTATGTGCTGGCGTTTGAATTTTTTTTCCTAAAGGTTAAGAATTAAATGTGTAGATTTAAGTATCTGAGGCACAGAGGTGATAATGAAAGTTGATGTGTGTAAGAGATGGCCCAGAATACTCCAGAAGTTTTACTTACTCTTGTGTACAAATCTTTAATGATATGCTAAGCATTAAAACTACAGATTCCTGGACTTCACCCTAGACTTGGCTGAATTTCCCAAGAGACGAAGCCTAACAATCTATACTTTTAAGCATCTCTCTGATGACTCTGTAAATTTGGGGAATGACTGGACTAGATGACCTAGGAATTTTGATGGCGGGTGATATGTAGCAGAGAGGACAGGCAAACAGTCAGAGAGATCCAGAAAGGGGTGGCAGGTGTTTCCTCAGTGGGTGGGCAGCAGATCATCACTAAAGAGTCTGAGAGAAGGAAATATGTTCACATCCAGGCAGATGGTCCCCACCAGGGTGGTCTAGTACCAGGTAAAATGGTCCTGATCATTGAGTGGGAGCTGGGTCTTAGAGGAAGGGCAACAAAGGACAGGACAGAAATCCTGAGATAAATGAGGGGTTTAAGACTCAGAAAACAAGACAGAGGACTCATTACGATTGATCCCACTGGTACTCAAGGTGGCTGCACAGTTATAAGAATGAAGAAGTTCAGTAAATAGAAAAGAGACACATAATCAAAGTATGTACACTTGGTATAGAGCCACCTGAACTTAAGGATGGGTCTTTGTAAAAAAAAAAAAATCCTTTAATTAAAGGTTTGAATTAGATTTTAACTCAGGATTAAAAGACCACATGAATGGAGGTTGCCAGAATTCTAAACCAATGAATTAGGCAGGTATTAGACATATTGTACTAAGTATTCTGTACTCCCTTGTCGCTAAAGACAATGTTTCTCAAAGTTTGGACTTCCAGCTCCTTGCATCAGAACATACTTGTACATCCCTGAGACCCCTACTCTAGACCTAGGGGATCAGAGTTTAGAAAATAGAACTCACAAATCTTCATTTAAACAAGACTTGGTGGGTGAGACAGTGCTGAAATTTGAGAACCATTCTATTCCACTCTATTTGTATGCTCTTTGCTTGTGGAGACTGTCTTACTTGTCTTTGTTTTACTAACAGTTCAGAGCAGAAAGACATGGGCATTTTAGGCACTCAAATTTTTGTAAAAGAAAGAAATGAATTATGTTCTCATGAAATTCACGATTTTTCATAAGGGTTTTATTCCACTCTGATACATTATGTCCACATTTCCATCAAGCAAAAGTGTAGATATTTTCTCCACAGTAAATGTAAAAGTTTTTTTCAATTAAGGAGAGTCATTCAAGTGAAATATGAGTACTAATTGCTGCTTCAAAAATATTTAAATAATTTGTCTTTGAGATTAATTTTCAGACCTAATATGTAATTGTATTTATGAGGTAAATAATTTGCTTTTATCTGGGTTCACATGAATTGTTTGTAGATGAGACATTAGTAAGAACTAGAGATTCATTGTTCAGAATGGAAGCAGTTTTATAGCTGTTGCAAACTTCTAATTTATGGTGGTCTAAGATTAGTCACAGTGTAAAATCAGCTCTGAGTCACTGTCTTTGTACTTATTTTTGACATGAAGTAAAATCAAATTTGCCTCACGCCCTTGTTGCCTAGTGTTTGACCTTAACATTCCTTCCAGAGATTATTGGGTATTTTTCTCAGTGTAAACTTGGTGATATCTGGGCACAGTTAAACATACTTCATGATGATTGAATTTATGAGCAGATTAGTGTTCAGTGTCTAAATCAGTTCCATTGTCACAGTCAAACATGTTGAAATAGGGCATATATAGATGAAGGCCCCTCAAACCTGGTGATTTTAACAGTATTTTGTGTCCAAGTATATTATATTTACCAATAAAAATATTATAGCAAGTTCATGTGGATATAAGACTTAACTTTTAAAATCTCAGCTTGGCTCAAAATACTTACACTTCTCCATATTATTTTCAAATCTTAGTAAATATGATGATTTAATATTGAGTTTGAAAAGTTCTTTTTGCTGAAAGTTAGTTTTACACTTTGGATTTATTCAAAGGTCTTCCAAGTTCAGTAATTTAGAATCCAAAGAGGAAAAGAAGTTATATTCCTTGGATGCCCACAACTTAAATGAAGGAAAGTGAAATATGCAGTTGTGGCTTTTAGGATGTTCTTTTCAGCAGTGATTTATTTTTTGTTTCCCTTTTAAAAATTTTGTTTGTTTATTTTTGACTTTGCTGGGTCTTTGTTGCTGTCCCTGGGCTTTCTCTAGGTGCAGCATGCGAGGACTTCTCTTGTGGACCACAGGCTCTAGGACGTGTAGGCTTCAGCATTTTCCATGCATGGGCTTGGTTGGCCCACAGCATGTGGGATCTTCCTGGACCAGGATCGAACCCGTGTCCCCTATGGTGGCAGGCAGCTTTTTACCTCTGAGCCACCAAAGAAGTCTCAGCAGTGATTTCTTTACTAGTTTTTAA